GAAAAGACATAAAATAATGCCCATAGTATATATTTATAGACCTTACTTATATATACTGGTTTTATATAATATATTTGCACATAATATCAAAGTACCCTAGTATATTTACATATAATACTCTATCTTTAAATAAAGAAGATCTATTAAGAAAATAATTTCTTGGACTTTCATATGCAGTTATCTAGCAAAAGAAAACCATTTCTCAGATTCAAACCCTAAGTTGTGATTGGAATAACCAGTATGTGTCAAGTCTCTAGTAGAAAGACTAAGATGCATATATCCCTCCCTGATATAAGCATCTGTCTTTACTTAAGTAGAGTACACTTTTACTCTTACTCTTAACTGTGACACAGAACAGGCTGGAATAAGCCAAACAATTCATATTGTAAAGTAAATGTTTATAACCGACCAAGTTTAAATGTAACCCCATTAATGAACTTCTCCCTGAAAATAGGTGTTACTCAGTCTAAAAATGCATATGCTTGAGATTTCTTTTTGATACAACAAAAATCATGGATTTATGCAGATGCCATGTGAGAAAAGCATTTTATAAACACAAACTACTTAGTGAGAGTCATCTAAGAATAAAATATGCTTTCAGGAGAGTTTGTCCATCCATTGTAATCCGTGGACTTTTTAGAGGACTGTACTAGTTTTGTTTACATATGTGAAATTTGGCACTACACAGGTGCTTTATAAGTGACTTCATTTTATCCTGAAGGATGATCTACCAGTAAGCCATCTCAGTGGAACTCATGTCAGCTATTCCTCAAGGAACTCAAGCTGAGGAAATGCTGCCTGTAGGAAAGGGATTAAAACGTGAGGAGGCTTCTGCTGTGTCTGTGAGGACTGAAGAAAATAGGGAAATCTGGGACTATGGAAAAATAAACTTACAAAATCCAGCAGGACAAAGTAGATCAATCCTTATGATTAGTCTTTGGAAAAGCAAATAAGCAAAAACCAAATCTCCCCAAAGGTCTCTCATAGGATAATATTAAATAAACTTAAAACATGATTCACTTTAAGAACAAGTTTCTAGAAACATATCTACTGGCTGGAGTTAACTAGTGAATTCCTTTCTTAGTAGATTATAAACAACCCTGAAGTCTTTGGCTGTACCCCAGAAAAGAGTTTAGGTGAAAGTGAGATTTAATCTGTGAGTATGCCCGAAAGTCATTCTAAGTGACTAGAGGATTAGCTAGCTGAGTTTCTTCTACCATTACTGTTATTTATCATCTGTCCTGCTGTTTCTCATCATTAGTTCCAAACCCTGGAAGTTCATACACACACACACACACGCACGCACACACACGCACGCACGCACACACACACACACACACACACACACACACGCATACATGCAAGTACACACACACACATCTTTCAGTCATTTAAGGCAACTTCCAGGCATACTCAAAAACTAAATCCCGCCTTCACCCAAGATCTTTTCTACGATCTAGCCAAAGCCTTCAGAGTTGTTTATAATCTCCAAAGGTAGCTAGAACAAGCGTGTGGAAGTTTGAAGACGACCTGTGTCACTCAGTTCTCTCTTTGTACCACCTGAGCCTAAAGAGGGTCATCAGGCTTGCTGGGAGACACCGTTACTAACTAGCTATTTTGCCAGCTCCAAACTATACTTTAAATTAAACACAAAGCAAACAACGACATGTTTTCTAATTTTTTTAAAAAAAACTTTTTTTTAAATGAAGAAAATAATACTCAAACCTCAGAAAAATGTCTTCAGTCCTTAGACAGTACAAGATTTGCCCTTCAAGGTTCTAAGCAAGTCAAAGAAGGAGCCCACCCTGTGTGAGATGAAAGTGGAGTGAAAAGGATCCTATGAAAAGCTTCCCCCTTACCTACCCCTCCACATTTCTCTATCCCTAACTTTCCCACTTTACTGTTAGAGTAACAGCAAAAGAGAAAGCCAGGGCTGGCTGGCAGGGGAATGAAAAAATGTTACTGTTTGGTGAAATGTTCCTAATTACTCTTCAGGTAGCCTCATTTTCTGTCCCAGTTTCCCAAAACTAAGGGAAGCTGTTTTCATAGACCATTGTCCCAAAGCAGTTCGTAATTAAAACTATACCTTTAAATGTCAAAACTAAAGGAAATTCAACTGTAGTTCTGAACATAAAAGGAATTTCGGGGATGTTTTATGGGCTCTTAGTGTGTGTTTCTCCTTGAGTCCAAGCCAGGGAACAGGGTTCCCACAATTTATCTTTCCTTTAAGATAATAGGCCAACCTCTTAAGCATAAACATGAAGCTGTAACCTGAGTCTAGTGCCAACCAGGCACTCCAGGCTGCTAACAAATCCCTAAGAGGGCCTGGAACTCTCTTGGCACCCATCTCACCCTTGACAGCCTGGGGTGTAGAAAAGTGTTATGGCATCAGCAATTATCCCAGAAATTCAAGGACTCTTTAAAGATATTATACAATTACAATTTGGAGTTGAGGGTACAGGAATCTGATTGGCAGGTGTGGATTGAGAAACAAGGTTCTAGCCTACCATGAGTAGTGACAGAAAGGCCATTGATAGATAGCAACAAATGAATGATCAGATGGAATAGATTATTTCTCCCTGCCTTCTCTGACCTCTGTGAGGGCCTTCACATACAAGAAAAAAGGAGGAGGAAAGATGGGGAGTTAGGAAAGGGGAGGGGTCTCCTAAGAGACCCTGAGAATAAAATTTTTCTTTGGAAGTGCCCCTTGAGCCAAAAACTTATGCAAAAAGACTCACAACTCAATGAAAAATATTAAACTATATACAATGGGCGTTTAAAAGACAGCAAAAGAACTTGTGTATTTTCCTCTTTCCTTGAGTGTGATTATTTTCATCCTGGAACCTTATTATCACCTTTTTGCTCTGTTAATTCAAAGTTCTTTTCTCATTTAGTTCCTATGGTTATTCAACAGTACACTAAGAAATGGATTCCTATTGTATTGTCCAAGTATCAGATAATAACATTATAAAATATCCCACTAATTTTATTTTTATTTTATATTTAATTTCTTATTCAGTTTTGCATTTAATTTTCCCTAAAATTCAACTAAATGATTAACTGTAATTCTGCTATATGATCTTTATATTCTTGCCATACTTAAATGCTGGCTACTAAAGTCTTATTTTGAAGTATTTCTGTTTGCAGGAAGTAAATACTCTAGAAAACTCTTTGCACTTTGCAGCAACTCCTGAGGTATTGTTTACTTTCCAATACCTACTTGTTCTTCATGACCCCAGATACACCGGTCAGTCTTATTTCCCCAGGGCACTGATGTCCCTTAGGTATTAGTCTTCTTATTACTCACAAAGATTAGTTTGCTTTTAATAAAGGCTTGGTCAGTTCACCCCGAGAAAACTGGAAGCAAGGTTCAACAACTAGTTTTCCCTCTCTAGACTAGACTTTGTTAACTGCCTAAAACATAATTAACAGCAGAATGCCAGTCAACAAATACACTTTCACTTCCTATCTGGGGAATTTAGGTGCTCCAATTTAATAGGGGCCGTGGTACTCGTAATCAAATCGGAAGTCTTGGCCTGACCTCTAAAAGCAGCTGTAAAATGATGTCTAATAAATTAAGATGAATGCCACATCCCTCGGAGGAAACAGGCCTGTATCATTACTATGTAATCGGTTCTCATGTTTGAGGTCAGGACTGTACAATAAGGATATAAATACCAGCCTGGGTTCAAGGTGAGACATAAGCTCAGTTATGTTGACTACAAGTTAATGGTGACTGGCTTCACTCAATTACACACGGCTGCAGATTTGAAATTCCTTCTTTTTTTCAAAACCAGTCCATCACACCAATGTGAAGTATGATCCTCAATAATGGGACTGAATTTGTCAAGGTGTAGAAACAGACTATTAGATCTTCTATCCTAGTACCAAGACAGAGATTATCCAAAGCCAGGATGGGTGATTTGGGCTGGATTTTGAAAGTGACTCGGGCAGTCAGGGAGGTGCAGTGACGAAGTGTCCAGTTCCAACCAAGAGAGGTACAGAAGGCATAGTCAAACTTCCAAGAAACAGGATGCAATTACAGCAGGGACAGTCACTGTATCTATGCCACCCTGACGTTGCTGGAATTCTAAACAGGGAGCCAAGAGCCCTAAGCAGTTATTACCAAAAGACCACTGCCAAATGGTATCAAGAAGTTGATAGAATCACTGTATATTTGATATGTTATGTGTGAACAACTAGAATTGGTGAAAAAAAAAACCTTAAAGACAAATGGAGGTCATAAACCTTTAATCCGATTGTCATTTGTAGTAGTAGTAGTAGTAGTAGTGAGGGTTCACATGAATCTTGTTCTTCTTTCTTTATTTTTCTTCTTTCTGTATGTTCTACTCAAACTTGTTTATACTTATTTTGCTTTCCTCTGTTTCTCGGATTTATTGCTTTCTGCTCTGATATTTAGTGAAGAAAAAAGAGACTGTGATTTAGTTTCCCGTTACTACTCAAACTAAATACAGTGCTTCTTTATCGCTAAAGTCCTCTGCTTGACCAATTTTAATAAAAGGTATTGACACTGATGGGGAATACTCTGCCCACTGCTTTCCTCTGTGCTAACCCCTCCCATTGTACCTACGGGATTATAAAACTAAATGATTGGTATCTGCAATATTCTTTGGAGTGTTCCACCAATCAAATTGTACTGACCACCATAAGCTATTGATGTATATAACGTCTAAAAAGCATAGGCCTGAGTCAACTCGAATCCTGCTGGCAAAAATTAATCCAGCTTTCTTAGGCTAGTGGCAACCTTGAAGACCTCTGCTCTTCTCACTATCATAGAAGAGACTATCAATGAATACACATTCTGCAAAACACAGGTCTACTTGCCACAGGAAACGTCCCCAGCATTCCCAAACCTGTCACCACTAAAGCTGATTATATTTACTATGATCCATTAAGCCCCCATGATCAAATTGATACCCCTCTTTACAAAGATCTGTTCCTTAAAACTTTTACTCTGATCTTTTTTTCTGCCTCTTCAGGTCATGGATTATATGGGACTTTTGAAATGTTATCCTCGTGGAGGAAAACTAGAGAGGACCAACATGTTAAAGAGCGAACTGCAGAAGTCTATGCAGACTCCATGCTCTCCTTCTCTCTCACCACTGCCATGTACTTGGTCACCTTCGGCATAGGGGCCAGCCCTTTCACGAACATCGAGGCAGCCAGGATTTTCTGCTGCAATTCCTGTATTGCAATCCTCTTCAACTATCTCTATGTACTCTCATTTTATGGTTCCAGCCTTGTGTTCACTGGCTACATAGAAAACAATTACCAGCATAGTATATGCTGTAGAAAAGTGCCAAAGCCTGAGGTGTTGCAGGAGAAGCCAGCATGGTATAGGTTTCTTCTGACAGCTAGATTCAGTGAGGACACAGCTGAAGGTGAGGAAGCAAACACTTACCAGAGTCACTTATTGGTATGTTTCCTCAAGCGCTATTACTGTGACTGGATAACCAACACCTATGTCAAGCCTTTTGTAGTCCTCTTTTACCTTGTTTATATTTCCTTTGCCTTAATGGGCTACCTGCAGGTCAGCGAAGGGTCAGACCTTAGTAACATCGTCGCAACTGCAACACAAACCATTGAGTACACTACTGCCCAGCAAAAGTACTTTAGCAACTACAGTCCTGTTATCGGATTTTACATATATGAGTCCATAGAATATTGGAACTCTAGTGTCCAGGAAGATGTTCTAGAGTTCACTAAGGGTGGCTATCCTGGTTTGAAAGCTACTTAAATTATCTTCGGAAACTCAATATATCCACTGACTTGCCTAAGAAAAATTTCACAGACATGTTGAGGAGTTCCTTCCTGAAATCTCCTCAATATTCACATTTTCAAGAGGACATCATCTTCTCAAAAAAGTACAATGATGAGGTTGATATAGTGGCCTCTAGAATGTATTTGGTGGCCAAGACCATGGAAACAAACAAAGAAGAACTCTATGATCTCTTGGAGACCTTGAGGAGACTTTCAGTCACCTCCAAGGTGAAGTTCATTGTCTTTAATCCGTCTTTTGTGTTCATTGATCGATATTCCTCCTCTCTGGGAGCCCCCCTGCACAACTCCTGCATCAGTGCTTTGTTCCTGCTCTTCTTCTCGGCATTCCTGGTGGCAAACTCGCTGATCAATGTCTGGATCACTCTAACAGTTGTGTCTGTGGAGTTTGGAGTGATAGGCTTCATGACATTGTGGAAAGTAGAACTGGACTGCATTTCTGTGCTCTGCTTAATCTATGGAATTAACTACACAATTGACAATTGTGCTCCACTGTTATCCACATTTGTTCTGGGCAAGGATTTTACAAGAACTAAATGGGTAAAAAATGCCCTGGAAGTGCATGGGGTAGCTATTTTACAGAGTTACCTCTGTTATATTGTTGGTCTATTTCCTCTCGCAGCTGTGCCTTCAAATCTGACCTGTACACTGTTCAGGTGCTTGTTTTTAATAGCATTCGTCACCTTCTTTCACTGCTTTGCCATTTTACCTGTGATACTGACTTTCCTGCCACCCTCTAAGAAAAAAAGAAAAGAGAAGAAAAATCCTGAAAACCGGGAGGAAATCGAGTGTGTCGAAATGGTGGATATTGATAGTACCCGAGTGGTTGACCAGATTACCACAGTGTGATGGTATCTGCTTCATGTATTTTTCACCTTAGGTCTTACCAAGACCAAAAAGCTGATGTTGATGAAACATAGTCAAAGTTGCTCTGTTTCTAAAAGAATAAGAAACAAGCACTGGAAAAAAAAGGAAAAGAGGATATCAGGTGTGGAATCTTTAAAATCATTAAAGTAAAGGGGTTGCTATGAAAGAGAAGTTACTTATATGCACACGTGTGTGCACACACACGCAGGACTCAGAGTGTTTTAAATAAGATCAAACAGAGGAACACTTACTAATAAGCAGGATATTACCCCACTGCACAAGTTACTTGTGTTGTAAGAAAATGCAACTGATTGCAAGGTCAGCTGCCATGACAAAAATATCCTTAAGCATTGTTCAAAAGAACAAGGCTTCCTAAACTTCGGCAGAGCTGTAATTCTACTTAGGTTCTGAGGTTTGAGATCTTCATTGTCTCATCTAGCACCTCAACACTCAAGGAGAGTCTGTAAAAATTTTCATCAGCAAAAGAAAGCCAGGACCTCTGAAGCAGATGTGATAGACTGTACATCATCCACAAATTAAAATGGAGTCTCCCGAAATTCACGTAGGTGAGGCCAGGTTTTTGTTTTCATGAATGAACTTGTCATATTCTTCCACTGACAACACTTTTACCACCTGTATGGTTTACTTAATGCACCCAGGAAGCAATGACAGCTCCAGCGCTACAGAACTGGGGCAAATCTATTTTAGAATATCTTGCTCTTTGTCATCAGATGGATCTACTTTATACGTTACAGCTTCTGGCAGGAACCTCTGAGGGTGCAAAGTCACAGAGCCACGTTCCAAATGGCTGGCATGTTGGAGGAAAAGCAGGAATCTATTTGAACCTACAGAGTATCTCTATATTAACAAAAAAGAAGAGCTGGCTAGTACAGATGTTTGTGGTTTGTCCCTATATGCACTTTTGCATGGGTGCCCATAAACAACATCTGCCCATGTGTCTAAGGAAAGGGAAATAAACACTAAAATCGTCATTGGCCAAAAAGTGCCAGAATGTCTTTGCTATGAGATGACTTCCACTTGACTTAGTGGAGAAGAGTAAGATTTTTGGTAAGTCTAAGCCTGGGTAATGAGTCATTTATAAAAGTGCTGGGAGATAAAGGGCTCAAAGGAAAATAGGTGGAAATCCCTGGATAACAGCAAACACCAGTACAAACCTATCCACAATGGCAGCCAAACTCCCCTGCTAAACTGGCTGAATATTACCTTCCCTGTCCCCTAAAATGCCTTTTTGCTATCTCTCTACTTCATCATAAGGCCCTCTGTACATTAACATGCCCGGATTATTTATATAGTGCAACAGTTGTAACTACAAGGGCAATGATTCATAGATCTAAACAAAAACAGTTTGGTCTGAAGGAGTATGTATGCTGGCCTTGGACCCTGTATTTCTTCAAATCCATAAAATGAAGTCAAATCCTGGGTTACATTTGAGGCAAACAGCTACAATGTCTGTCCTTTTTAGAGATGTAGCTTCCTTGCCATATATAATGGTGAGCATTTACAAAAGGCATATTACCTTTCAGGACCTGTGCAAATATATTGTATCACTTCTCCTCCTCCACAAAGGGGAAGCAGGCCTTGAAGAATGAAGTAACTTACTAGGGTTGCACTACTAGTAGAGTTCCATCATTTCAGCATGGCTAAGACAGGGGAGGGAAATTGCAGATTTTCTCATAAGGCAGCTACTACCCCTTCCAAATACATATGTAAGGTAGGAATATAAGGCTTCATTGGTTATGGAACAAACATGTTTTTTTATGTCTGGAACTGGATTTAGGTTGGCTACTCTCCTAATAGCAAAACCGCCCAAATGATTGTGATGTAACCACACTAAGTGAAAATCTGTGCTTTTGCTCTCACGTGCTTTTGTCTATAAAGTTCTAACAAATATGCTGGGGACTGTAGCTAGTGCTTCACACACACTCCCAGTCTCCCCTGCAGACACACTAATCAGTCATACTAATGTGTTGTTCACTGAACAAGAAGATGAGGAGCTTTACATCTAAAGACAAGCATATTCTTCACAAAAGGGAAGGTTTACATCTTAGATGTTCTTTCAATCAATTTTCTCTCTTATGGGCCTGCAACTAGGCACTTAGTTATAAAACACAACAGAAGAAGGGACTGGTTTTATTCTTAAATCATATGCTGCTAAACCGTTTTCTGAATAGTGTGTTCTAAATCTGCTATTGATTTCGTGTCAACCATGTGAAACACCTCAGCTTAGTGAATTCACAAAATGGACACAACACATGCACCAACTACATGGATTTTGTTGAGAATTTAATCATCAACTTGGTCATCCAGAATGACTTACTGTGGAACTTTGTTTTATGACAGATATTAGTTTTCCAACATGAGTCTCTGTGTATCTTGAGATGTTGTATTTTTAAATGAAGGGCATTTTCAAACTTGTCAACTTCTGTTTTCAGAACTTGAAATCAAGGTTTCTGAAATTCTGACTGTGAACTGAATTTTTCTATTGGAGGACTGCATGCCAAGATTTATTTATTGTTAGGCAATGATTCTGTATTTGTTGATATTTATTATTGATTACGCTCTGGCAACATTGTTCTAATCCTGCCATAGAGAAAACACTGTAGAAATAACTCAAAATATTTAAGTTTTCACAAAATTTTGCTTGTTAAATTGCTAAAAAGGGAAGAAATGATCTCAGCAACTTTTTTCATTTTTTAATTAATTCCAACCAAGACATTAATGTCCACTTTACCAAAGAAACTTATTTGGTTGGTTTTAAGTTGGTTTTTGGTGTCCATTTACCAAAGAAAATGTTCCATTCATCAGAAATGTTTCTCCTGGTCAACTAATATACTGTGATACTTGGGCCTTCAGAAGAAAAATAAGAAAAGCCAAAGTAGGAGGAATGATACTCTCTCATTCAATGGAGTTCAGCAGAAGATGTGAATTTACAAGAAAACTGGGCTTTACAAGAAAGAAAATTATAATTGAAATTGGACATTATTATTCAGACATACAGTAATGTTCCAACAAGTACCACACGCTAAAAGTACAGTTTGTTCCAGAGAAAATGGAAAACAAACCCTCATGAAAATTTCTGGCTGTTTTTCCTGCTAATAACTCTTTTCTGTTTGTTTGTTTTGGGTTGGGTTGGTTTTTGCTTGTGTGATTAATGGATTGGCTGGATTTTATTTTGGTTGGGGAAGGGGTTATCTTCATTTTGCTTTTGTTTAGTTTGTGGTTTTTGTTCATGTGGCTTCTGCTTCTCCTACCACTTCCGCCATTTTCAGTTAAAAGTGAGATAATTAGAGGCCTCTTCCATGGCCACAGTTATTCGCACAATCTACTGCTCTAAAAAGACCTTTGAGAAACTGTTTATTTTGAATAACCACTGCCCAATTGTTTGTGGCATTCTAAGACTATGACACTACCTTCCTTCAGCCCCAGCAACAGACCTTGGCTGTGTCCCTCATAAGAACAGGTCGAATGGAGAGTCACCTTCAGGGTGTGGTATGGTATGAGGCAAAGCCTCTTGAACACAAATGGTACCCTCTTCATAATGGCTTTATTCCTTTGGATCCTATTAAAGTATCCCTGCAGCTTGTAGCAGTGTTTGACTTCTGTGAATGTTTGTTTCTTCATCTGTACAGTGGTGGATAACAACAGTAAATACATTTAAATTCAGTAAATTTTAAGTCCCTAATATTACCCATACATTGATCTAAAGACTGGGTGCACACAAGCAAACAAATCAGATAAAGCATGATCTTGACTTGGAAATCTTAAGTTTGAGTGATATTGCGAGTTGACTGTAAGAATTGAGATGGTGTTTGGGAAGCACTTGGGACAAAAAGAAAGAACTCAAGGCATTATTATATTTGATTGGCCAACTTCACACTGTAGCATTATGGCTCAGGATATAAACTTCCAAAATATATCTCTGCCCAAGATTAGAACTATATAAAAATGCAGTGGGTTACCACAGAAAGCAATTATTAGGTTTTGAGGTCACATTAAAACTAAGCTGGATTACCATGTGGTGGGAAACTGCGAAGAAGGTACAAACCTAGATATTGGGGTTGGACTATAAACCTTAAAATGGGATGTAGATAATTGGTGGGGATAGAGAGAGTAACACTTCTTACTCTCTATGTCTGGCTTGTCTGGTGACATTTGAACATTGCTTTGGGGTGATTCACTTTGAGTTAAACATATTAGAAAATAAGGCTATTTTTTATAAGCATGTATCATGAAAGGGGAAATATTATATTGGTACTACACTGGCAAAAAAAAAAACAAACAAGATTGCTACAGCCAATACATGGCAGAGTCCCTTCCTGTGGTGGCTTCAACTGCTTGTTTTTGTTTTGTGTCAGTTCAGGAGAAAACAAAGAGGGAAGCGAATGAACTAGAGCCAGTTCACCTGAACAGTTAGTGTTAATCTGCTCTCCCCAGTCTGCTTCTTGTCTGTCCTCTCCCTTTTCCCAGGTGATCTATTTGAAGTCCTCTTTGATATCGATGAGAGTGCCATGCAAAGAAAAGGAAACAAGATGCCAGAGAGCTGTAGTCACCACATAAGGTTTTGGATTAGAATCAAATCAGCACCACTTCAGAGAAAGTTACTTAGTAGAGAACAGAGGTTTCTTGGCAAAGTACAAAGAAAGCATGAGAAAACCAAAACCCAGAGTAGTGAAATGTTCACAGAACTAGTTGGAAGAAGGTACAGGACTATAACTGAAGTATAGTTCCTAGCTTCAGTTTATTCTCCATTGTGCCAATTTACTGCCAAATACTTTGTTATCTAAATTATTGGTTCTCAAAGCAGGGATCATGAGTGAGCTGGAGAAGAGAAGAACGTTTGACCTCCCCAAAATTAATTACATGCAAAAACACGTGTATGTTCAATATATACATCTTGCTAATGAGAAGGGTCATAGTTGTCATCAGATTCTAAAAGAGTTTTCCAAGACCCCTGCACTGCCCTAAATTAAGAAAGACCTCAGTGGGAGTGCAATCCTGGCGTCCTCATGTTGGCTAGTGAATAGTCAAGAACCTCTCAATCACTTTTTCTCTAAGATTCTTCCAAATACTGATTCCTTTGTGCCAAGCCTAGTGCCTACTTCTGTTCATTTATTCTTCATTCCTATTTTCACTCATTTTTTAATCCTGTAGTGTTAATTTATGTTCTAGTACCAGTTAAACATAGCTCCCCAGGAAGAACCAGGAAAGGATCTCTCTGCACTATGCCCTTGTTACCAG